GCCAGCGGCCCCCGCCACATGCCATCACGGTCAGTACACAATAATTATGCTACTTAAATTGGAATATTTGGAATTCAAAAACCGAAATTTGTGTTCAAAACTAAAAAAAAACAGTTTGAAATTGTATTTTACATATTCTAGGTAAACTATAGCGAAAAAAGAACAGATACTAACTTACTACACTAATAATTTGTAATATTTTTATTACTCTTGACAAGTGTTTTACGTTTAAAAAAAAAAGATGGTTTCAAAACAACGGAATGGCTGACGTGACGTCAGTTTGACAGTTTGTCAGATAATGTATTTGTTTTGACAGGCGTGTCAGTGTGTAATGACATGTTTAATGTGTGCCTGTTTGTCAGTTGGGCGCGGCGGCGGAGGGCGCGGCCGTCACTAAGGTACCGGCGACTCGCAGCCGGCGTTAAGTATCCACAGTCGATGCTCCGCCTTGCCTTCGCCATAGACTATACTCACTGCCGCCATAGACTACACTACACCCCTACCATAGACAATTCACACCACATGCTTAGTCTGTGGATGTCTTAGCGACAATTAAACCTTTATCATTCAGTCTTAATTCAAAGAAGTACAAATTTTTTAATGATTTTAGATGTTCTGTATCAAATCCGTTTTGTGGAAAATCAAATTATATAATAAAAATTAATATTTTTTTACTAACAGTGTTAAAAACTAAATTAAGCAAGGTTGAGCATCGACAAGACATTTCTTTCATATTTCTCGAAAAGTCTAAAGCTGCTGGTAATCAAATAATAATCAGTACAAATAATTGAAAAACGAAAATCTTTGTAAATTTCGTATTTTCCGGCTAAACACCGGGCTGTAATTGATACTTAGAAAAGTATCAGTTACAAATCACAATGGAATTCTTTTTTATTGCACATTTTTTTTGCAAGCAAAATTTAATCTGTGGGTCACTTTCAGCAGTTGTCTATGCCTCAATAATCAAATGTCAAACTCTGTCTAATATAAGATGTACTAAAATCAATTCAAACATCTTGACTTAATTATGTTGCCAACAATGATGGTTATATTCTCTCAGCTAGAGAAATAAATAATAGTTTCTGAATGTAGTTAAAAATTAGAACTTTTTAATATCTCCAGGTCATAGACTTTCTCAAACTGTGACAGGGGTGCTTTAAAAAAAGTTTGCACAAGAAAAACGCATAATTTAGTACAAACTGTCTGGGATTCGAACCTGTTACCTTTATCTGCAGGTCAAAGTATGTTTTCTTGACGATTTACGAAATTATTTTTATCCGTCCGTTATATGTAATGAAAGTCTTTTTAAATTATGTTTTTATGGGATTTCATTCTTTTATGCCAGTAATTTTGGTTTATTGCTGGAATAAAATCCTAAATGTAAAAGGCTGGAAAAAAAATATAAAAGATGAATGAATAATGTGAAATCTGTTTTTATTAGATTCTAAATTATTTGTCATACCTTTAGTGCTATTAACACTTTTACGTGTATTTTATCACAGTATTTTTGTTTCAGTGGCCAAAGAAGAAGAGAGGAAAGAAATCAAAACGAAAATTGTAGACCAATAAAAATAAAATGTTTAATTTGAAATTTTGGTTTCAATGACCCTTTAATCCATAAAAGCCTGATTTTCTAAATCAAATTAAAAGAATATTGTTACGAGCGTGGATTTATTTGCGATTTACAGTAACAAGGAATCACTGCATTTTTACAATTATCCTTTCACACTACACGATACACACAACACAGATTCATTAGCACTTAGCACTTTACGAAACACAACTGACACTAACACTAGCTCTTTCACTTCACAGTCACTTTATCTTCTTGGCAACTCACTTAAGACTTTCCTTACAGATCTGACCTCCCTCATACACTCCGAATTTTGAAATTCTTTTCGTTATTAATTTGTCATTTTGTCCGAGAACTTCCTCGATTATTTAAATCACATACGCTTTCCAATGGAATATTCTCGAGGTCATTCCGAATACTCAGCATATTTGTTCTCGAGTGTCTTTTTCGCTACTCGCCAACAGATGGCGTTGCGATAGAACATTCTAGAAACAACTCGATTATTCAACGGACGTGAATTCCGCTACTCAACAATACATGACGTCGCGACAATATATAAGTGTATTCTTTATTGTGTTTACTAATGGGACAAAATAGTAAAAAAAAACATCAAAACGATGTATACTTGTTGTTGCCCTCACAATTTCGTGATAGGCTCTTTTATTTCTAAGAAGATTATCAGTTAAAAGTAACATGTAAACAGCTAATTTTAAAATGAAATAGGTTGTAGGTGCCCAATGGGATTTATAATCCGGTATCAAATTTAAAACTTCAGCTATTAAAAGGGATAATTTTTTCGGATGAAATTAAAATAAAACAGACGAATTCTGTGTACATTGTATTTAATTATTCATTGTAATAAAAAAATAAAATAACATAATAAATTTTTCTGATTATAAAAGTAATTGATTACAATTAAAACATTTCAAACAATTATTTTAAGCGGCTTCATCGAAATACCCGTCCAACTGAGTTGCGATCTGCAAAAAAAAATATCAAAACTCAGAAATACGAATTATTGCAATAGTTCGTTCAATTATTATCTTACTAATATTAAAAACGCAAAAGTTTAGATCGATGTTTGTTAGTCTGTAGCCTAATCGGCTGAACGGATCTGGATTAAATTTGGTATACACATAAAGCATAGTCATAGTCTGGAAGAACGCATAGGCAAATTGCTTTGGTTTTTAATTCCGCTCGAACGTAGTCACGGGCGAAAGCTAGTAATTCCATATGCAATATACTAAACATTTTAATCCTTAAATGTATGGTCGGTCTTTTTACCTTACACAATAGACTACTTTTTTGCATTTAAAAGTTAAATGTTTATTTTTACGACAGCTATGTAGTGTACCTGCAAGGGCGTGTACTTGAGGTACTTGTCGGGGTTCTTGGAGAAGGGCAGGTGCGCGTGC